AGTGTTCTCCATGCCTTACAAATTCAATGTCAGACAACATTAAATTGAGTCTCCTAATAATAATAATAAAACGTATGATACACGATCCTCGCAGTAGAGAGCGCTATTTATGCAATTGCGAAAATTAACTTTACGGCCTGCTCCCAGTTGGCTTGTTAGCTCAATTGGTAGAGCGCTGCACTAGAATCGCAGAGGTCAGTGGTTCGAATCCCGTACAGGGCTGATTTTTTTTCAGGTCTGATTTTCGCTATTGCATAAATAGCGCTCTCTACTGCAAGGATCTTGCATCATACGTATTATTATTATTATTATGGAAAAGGAAAACATAGAAATTGATGTAATCCAAATTTAGGAAAATGATCAAAAAATAGTCTTCTCCTTGTCCACCAGACAAAGTGGCAGAGTGACCTCCTTGGCAAATACGGAGGAGGAATTTGATCGCTCGATGCTACCTACAAGACATCCCGCTACGCCCTTCCTCTATTCTTCCGTTATTTTTACCTTTAAACAAGATAACTTGTCATTAAAGTACATACTTATCAGCAAAATGTTGTCTTCTCCTCTTACCTTCCATCACTGAAACCTGGTTTTGGTCGATGTTAGATAGTATTTAGTGGCGTGTCGACACTAAATATCATCGACCGAAACGAGCCTCAGCTAAGTTCCTCGGAACGACCATAAGCCACGTAATTCGGCGCAATACTGCTGAATCTATTGTATATTTAACAGTTTTTAGCAATATAAACTGTTAATGTCAAAAATTTACCCTTTTAATTTTAAACTCAAATCAACATTCTCGCTGCGATCAATCAAATGAGCGGAAGTCGAGGTTTCATTTTGTAAGACGCCGCTGACATATCGATGACTCATCTGGTTTAGGTCGATGTTGTGAATATCAGCCTGCGTTGTCATCTGGTGTCAACAAGCAGCAGGAATGCGGTATTAAATTACGACCAAGCAAAACAATTTTGACGTGAAGAAAGAACTCTAGCATCACATATTATGCCTGTTTATTCAACAGAATTACCAAGCTGCTTTTTTATCAAGATCAGAGCGCTGTTAATATGCAGCTTGGGTGTTCTAACCGTTGTTCACGGTGAATCGATAGAAGGCAAATGCGTTAGCCTTTCGAATGGACATTTCGATTTCTGCACAAAAGGTGGATACAACAGCACGCTATCATTTCCCAAGGAATTCACAGCGGAGCGTCAGGCCCAAATGGCCGAATTTTTAATGTTCATCATAGAGCAATGGAGAAATTGCACAACTACTAGTCTGGCAACAGCTATGGAATGTTCGTTTTTCCTGCCCAAGTGCAGTTCGGAGGGAACACGCGTCTATCCGTGCAGGCGAGTCTGTGGAGAGCTGTTGAAGCAGTGTCAGAAAGACACAGGCGAATTCCGGGAGCTCTACATGGACTTGTTTCTAGCCTCGTGTTTAATTCTGCCAAATGAAACAGCGAGCAGTGAGAAATGCTTCGAGCCACCTGGCTTCAGTCCAAATAACAACGTATCGAGTAAGTTTGTGGAGTCTATTAATTGTTTTTTTAGTCACCAAAACAAACCCTGTTCCAGACATTGAAAGCAACAACGCAATCGTACTGGCGAGATACGATAGAATGGGAAAACAGTTTTCCTTCTTTTTCCTAACTTTTCTGCGCGTTTTCATGTGTCATTTGATCACCGGGACCAAGCTGCTTTTTTTTTGTTACTACCTCTCAGAGGTAGAATATGGGGGAGTGGGACCGGTTCTGCTAATACCTGACTGAGGAAGGGAGGGAGGGAAGGATATTGTCACGCAAATCGCGTTGTGAGTATTATCAAGTTCAAGGCGGTGAGTCTTTACTCATTAGTGCAATCCTTATAGGCATGAGGAAAACTTGTTGAAGACCGCCTTGATGAAGACTGCCTTGATGAAGACTGCCTTGATGAAGACGGCGTTTCACAAGCATTTGCATTTATCCTAGGCTTTTTCTTATCGGTTCCTTGTTATGTTTCCTTTATTTTGATTGGTTGCTGATCGCTCATGATCATTGTTATGTTTCTCAGTCGAAATGTGATTTGAAAGTCTTTTGTTTTATTTTTTCGTTTTTCTTTCCTTTAACTGTAGGCCCTCTTGATCGCGGCTGTCAAAACTTGATCTTTCCCGCCTGTAAAAACCTGGGTTTATACAATCACACCATCTTTACAGAGTCAGTCCAGAAGAAGCTTTACTATCTTTTTTACAACAAGACATACGGCGACGGGCAACTGTTAGATCAAGGTTTTCCCATGGTCCTTGAAATGCAGGTGGCAAAGTATCCGAAATGCGCGACAAACATAAAAAAATTATATTGTGGAGACCTGTTCCCTCCATGTTTTCCAGAGGAAGGGAGTCCCACATTTAAAACCTTGTGCAGATCGGTTTGTAATGATATTCAAAGGGAATGTCCAGATTATTTCGGGTAAGAGTATATCTTAGAAGTATTCAGATTGTGTCTTGCTCGTTGGCAATTAGCGATCGGTACTACTAGTATGTGTAAAGGCGAAGCGTTATCCAAAAGGTTGGAGCGCTGAATTCTGTATCGAGAGATCCGAGATGAAACGACGGTAAGTTCAAAGTGTTATGTCTTGGATGACATTGCCTCTAACCACCCAAGACCATAATGGTTACCAGCGAACTGTTTTAAAGGTCCC